GGGCAAGTGCAACCTTTTTAGCATCAGATAACACTGCTTTAAATAGAAGATCTGAAATTTTGCATATTATTAAACTGTCATCATTTCTTTTTCTTTTGCAACAATTTACTGCTAAATGTTTGTATAAATTTACAGATTTCACATTATTTGCTAACTCCCAATTACAGCAACATTTCCTTATTTGCTTTTCCCCCCAATAATTGCAAATAATAACATTTATTTTCCCCTTACTTCATTATAATTAAGCAATGAAACATTTAATTTTCAACAGGAGTTCTATGCAGATGAACAGTATCTGAAAAAGAAATGAATTTAGAGATGCATTTGTGATCAGAAAGTGCTGATGGAATAATGTCAGAAATAGTATGATTTCAATCTCTAGAGATAGGCGACACATCGATACGAGACTGGATTGAAAGAGAACTATTGTACCATGTAAAAAAAATAAAATACATAAAAAGATGTCAACTGAAGAAAATCATTCAATGTAGATTTAATTTATCAGGTGACTTTGGAGGCCATCTGCTAAAGCCACATTGAAATCCCCTCCAAAAAGAATTTGAGTGTTTGGTTAGTAAAATCAAGATGTGTTCTTCCACTTGGTCAGTAAGTTTTTTCTTCTCTTTCTGTTGATTAAAACCATAAATATGAACAATAACACACATTAAATTAGAGATTTCTATTACAAGGCCCATCTGGGTCGCAATCAGAGCATACAATCTTCAATCTTCCCATTAAAATGATTTTGAAGGATGCAGACACCAGATGAGGTACTTGCTCCATGAGCCAGCCATCAATCTAAACCCACTTCATTTGTTGTTGTTTTTTTCCAGAAATTCAAGTCAGTAGTTGTGATACTATCGAGCCTGTGATCCGATTGGTCGTCACTGCTCTGATGGGCGTGGCTGCTGCAGCTGCTGCTGTTCTTCTGGTCAGTGACATCAGATCAACAAGAGGTTGAAAGAGAAGGGTGTTCCTGCACAACCGGAGGCTGCAGTTTCAGGACCGCAGTTCTAGGACCCTGGTGGTTTAGTTTGTAGTAATGTTTGTACATGTTGTTAAAGATATTGAATCTCAGGAACATTTTTTTTTATTTCAATTGTGATTTTTGATTTATAAATGCATCAGATGTTAAGTGTGTAATACCTGCTTTGAGTTAACAATTTTAAATTTAAATGAATTTACACTTAAAATATAAATTAATTTGTTTTTTCTATTACAGTTTCTTAATTTGTTACATTGCTTTGCACTTTTTTTTTTTGTATGGATATCTTCTATGAATATGTAAGCTTATATTTTTAGTTTAAGGGTTATATAACGTTAGGCTGTAATATAAATGAAGACCGAATGTTTACTTATTTTGTCTGTACCAGCTGATGGTTATGATTAGTGAGGAAAAAAATACTATAATTTTACAGTAGTTTTTCTCACGATGTTTAGTATATTTTACTTGTGATCGTAGTTACTGTATATTAATAATGTGTTAATTTTACATGATTGATTATAGCAGCCCTGTGATTCTACAGCTTGAGATCCAGCAATGTTAAGATATCTAAAGGATTTATTTACAACTACTTTAGCATACAGACACACGCAGACATCAAGAATCAGTGTATTAATCTCAATAACCGTGACAATCAAGAAATTCAGATAAACAGATAACTCTGAACATCACAAAACAAGCAATTAAAGCAAAAACAAAAAAAACTGGGAGTCATGTATGTGTTTGATTGGTGGTACCAGCATGCATTGCAGCAGGACGTTTTATATTATTTGTCAGCATTGAGAAAAAGTTGTCTTCTTTTATTTCAGCTGATTTTTTTTTACTCACCTCTTCCCCTTCTTTTGTTCTTCTTTCTCTTTTCTTCAGTGATTCTTCTTGTTAACAGCAGATGTTCACTCATGCTGAATTAGCACTTAATAAATCACTTAATGGATGCAGAAATGTGTCAGTGTTACTTTAACACTGTAGTGAATATTAAGAAATATTCTTTGTGTAGTGGTTCACAAAAACATACTAACATTACTACCACAGTACAAATATTAGTTTGCGAATGGTTTAAGGCAATTTACAGTGAAATTACTTAGAGTGAAATTAATTACTTATAGCAACGTGAATTTGAATTACTTTTATTTAATATTTAATGAAATAAAAGTACACCAAAATACAGTTTAATAATAAAACCAGCAGTGACAACATGCCACTGGAAATCTGGTCCTGAAACTGCAGCCTCCGGTTGTGCAGGAACATACTATTGGGTTGAAAGAAAACAGAACAGATTAAAGATATTGTGACATATATTGGAGTTTTAATCGTACAGATGAAAATATGTGTGGTCCAATTGTTTAGTGATGGCCAAACGAAGCTTTGCTCTCCATCTAGTGGCCAAAATGATGAATATGCTTTAATATTTCATTTTAAAAATGTTTTACATGTCTTTGTTTTCATTTCTCCCTTAATTTATGTTGCTATTTTTTATTTTGTTACGTTATCTGCAGAAACCCCACAAATACAAAAGTAAAAATATTTGTTATTATTTTTATCGAAAACTGAATATTACATACTGAAAAGATGAAAGATCTATGAATCATATGCCTATATTTTAATTAAAGGGGTGTCATAATGAAAACATAAAACAGCTTTTAGCAGCATATTTTAAAAACCACATAGACAATGTAAATGGCCATATTTCATATATACCTGTAAATTTGGAAGATTTTAGACAGATTAGTTTAATAATCTATATTAATAGAAAACGGAGGTGTGTGATAGAAATGTGCGTATGATAATGTGATTGCTTCTTGTATCATTGAAAGAAAAAAACAAACAAACAGAACAGATAGAAATATTGTGATTGTTAATCTATAATAATGATTTACATTTATGTGAATTTATGACATTTATGGCATATTGAGTATATTTTTAGATGCTTTCATCCAAAGAGCTCATATATGATGTACGCTGGGGCCATCTGCTGGACAAAACCTGGAATATTCATTAATATTTCATTTGGCAATGCTGAATTAGCACTTAATAAATCACTTAATGGATGCAGAAATGTGTCAGTGTTACTTTAACACTGTAGTGAATATTAAGAAATATTCTTTGTGTAGTGGTTCACAAAAACATACTAACATTACTACCACAGTACAAATATTAGTTTGCGAATGGTTTAAGGCAATTTACAGTGAAATTACTTAGAGTGAAATTAATTACTTATAGCAACGTGAATTTGAATTACTTTTATTTAATATTTAATGAAATAAAAGTACACCAAAATACAGTTTAATAATAAAACCAGCAGTGACAACATGCCACTGGAAATCTGAAGAGGACAAGAGCCTTTTTATTATTTTACCATTTATTATTTTTTCTCATGCATGAATAAATAGGAGGACAACATATGTGTCCCATTCATTTTCTCCATAAAGACTTCACAAAAATGTCTTCTAAAGCACATGCATACAGATGAGTTACAACATTACAAACTTTGATTTGAAGAAGAAAAAACCTGTGATGCAAAACTTGTCATGATTCTCTGATTGATTTTTCTTGTAGTTTTTCATGTAATCTGGATTACATAATCGGATTCCAAAAGAACTGTACTTGTAATTATATTGCATTTTAAAATCATCATAATCAGATTGCAGTTACTTCTTATGGATTACTTTAAATATCATTCACACAATGGCATCTATTGACTTTCACTAATTATTGATCTGGGCAAAAGTCAGGGCAAACTTATTTAAAACCTGAACACTCTTAATGTGTAATGTCATTGCTGTTTTCATGTGATGCAGGGATTCCCAAACTTTTTTGTCAGACAAACGTCTTTGACTTAAAATATTTACTTGAAATCCCCTGAGATTTTGAACAAGTTATTTCAAAAGTAATCTAAGTGTAGTCAGAATACATCACCTAAAATGAGTAATCTAGATTACAGTACAAACTACAATTTTCTTCATGTAATTTGTAATAAGTAATTATACTTTGCACTGCTTACATGTCTGTGGTTTATACAGAATCATTCACCAGTTTCTCAATAGAGAAAATGAATCGGACTTCCAGAATACAGAGTAATATTATAAATACATTACAGTTTTTGGACAAAGCTTGAAAGATCAATTCAGCCTCTGAGGTATAGTAAAAGTAACAGTTCTGAGCAATGTCAGTAAGAGTTTCCATAATGTGTTTGTTATGTATAACCATTTGACAACAGTCGCCTATACATTTTGGATCAAAGACAATTACCTCATTTTTTACTAGTATATCATGTTAAATTGTCCTGTGTATGAACTTAAAATAGCTGTGTCATACAAATATTTAAGAATGTATTTTATATTGCACAAAGAAACAACAAACGTCAAAGTCCCTTTCCAGAACATTAACCCTCTCTGTTGAACTGCGGTGGATCAAGGATCTGTCCTTATTCATCTTATTTTAATAATTCCTGTAATAAAGTGCTTGTGATGCTCATCATCATGACTTGGATAAACCCATTTGCTAAATGATTAAACGCAAATATATACTCTAGATACAGTGAGTGTCACACAGTTTAAAGGAGGTATAATAAATAATTGCACTCGTTTCAATGCCCAGACTTCGCCTGTGCTTTATCCCTTCTTCATCTTCAACAAGAGTTGTTATACCAAAGCCAAAGCAATGGGAAATATGACAAAAATGTTTAAAGAAAGACAAAGTCTCTTACTCATGAACACAAATACCCCTTGAAGCCACGCAATCATAAGATTAAACACCAACAGAAAGCATAGGAAGAGCACAAAAAATAATATAAACATGAATAAATGATTACATGATTATAAATGCATAATAAAACCAAAACACAACTCTGATATGTAATTACTCTCTTGACGATCAGAGACACTAATTACCTTACAATCGTGTTTCCAGTGTTACAAGTAGTGTTTAAGTTCAATCTCAAAAACAAAACCTAGAACAAATACAGTAGGTTCTTGTAAATTGGCTTTGAAGTTGTAAATAAAACAAATCTTAAAGTATTGTATATATATAAGTATATAAGTTTTACAGTGAAGATTGCTTCAGCAGCACATTTTTTCTCATTTTATAATGACACTTTTGGGATAGTCTTTCTCCTTCTGTAAGAAAACAATGAATCACAGAAGGTAAAGTTAGTGAAATGAACAGTGCTCTTTGCAGTTACAATCAGACACAATCAGCACATCATTATCACACAGTCATAGCAGTCCGTTAGATTCTGTTAAAAAAGGTGTATTTGCCATTAGGATGATTTTGTCAGTGCAGGTAAAATCTACGTGTGATCTAAAGTTAGTTTTCACAACAGTGTCTTACCTCATCTTTGCACAATAGTCCTTCATTGTTTTTATTCTTCCTTATTGCTGTGGGGGAAAAAAAATCACACACGCACACAATTAAATGATGAAGGTCATTATCAGGAAATATTTGACATAATGTCGCAACTGACCAATCAGAATCAAGTATTCCATAGAGCCAAATAATAATTTTGCATAAAGCACATGATGTTTCGCTCTCACTATAGGATCTGCATGTAATACTCACCATTTCTGGAGCTCCTGCGGCGATAGTAAATCCCACCAGCAGCAGCTACAACAGTCACCAGCAGCAGAACAGCAGCACATATTCCTGCTACAGCAGCTGAAGACAGACCTGAATCTGTAATGAGAGAAGAGAGACAGTCATTAGTGCGAGAGAATATGACAGTGTGTTTATATACCATATTCACTGAATATGTTCTCTCTATGGACACTATTAGATGTCCAAAAGGCTTATTCCTCTGTTAAAAAAATAGGGATTATTTCATTATGGAATAGTTTATGAAAGGTTTAGGAATAGTCTATGAGGTTGGCCTCCAGAAATGTCAAGAGACGGCTTTTCACTCTTTGTGATCTCGTGATATAATTGTCGCATGTCAAACGTCATTATGTACTTTACTATGTATTTGTTTGAACAGCTGCCGTGTTTCTGTTTGTCTATGGTTTGTTGAATTATAGGTTTGGAGGTAGCATTTTATTGGTTTCCCATGGCTGCAGTTTTAAACAGTGTAAATCAATATTTCTGACACACTGTAAAAAAAAAATCGTAAAATTTACGGTAAAAAACCGGCCGGAATTTTACCGTAAAAAATACGGTAGCAACGTTTTAGGTTTTACGGTTTTAACTTACATTTACAGTTAAATACTGTAATTTCAATAACTGAAATAATGTTAATATACCAACCTATTGAAGTACTGAAATCTGTTTTGTACCTTTGTAATACACTGATAACCACCAAATGCAGGTGGTGATGAGAAAGTCACATGATGAACAAAAGCCCATCACAAGCAGATTTTAAATATTAACATATATAGAAGGTGCACGGTGTCATTCACACAAACACTAAACACCATCATGGTAACACTCATGAAACTGAAATAATGAAATAAACATTAATTTAACAACATTAGGTGTAACATACAACCCTAATATACAAAACTGATAAGAAAAAACTAAGAAAAAAACTGTTATTTCAACAACAAAAAAACATCAAATTTGAAATGTAACGCAGGGAATTCTGGCAATGTCAATTTACGGTTATTCACTGTAAATTATACAGTCTTTTTCACTTCCAAAAACGGTATACTACCGTAAAATTAATGTCCAATACATGTAATATCCAATACAGTTTTTCACTGTATATAGTAGGGGAATTTACCGTTAATCATTAAACAGGTTTTTACTGTAGCATTTTTACAGTCTTTTACCGTTAAAGCAGCAGGTGTTTAGGATGGAGTTTGACAAATTAAATGTATAGATTTTTATAATGCAATATTCTGTTTAAATGAAATTCAAATGTTTAAACAACAGCTAAATCATTTAAAGTGAAGTATAAAGTCAAGCTCCCCTTAAGAACAATGCATTTATAGATATATTGTACTACATTATATGCAATCTATTAAGAGATAAAAAAGGAAAGGTGAAAATATACTCAAGTCAAACTCCCTCTTCTCCATATGGGGCTCTTCATTGGTTTTGACTTGATCAGACAGAGCAGCTGGAATAAAAATAAAGAAATATAAAGGAACACATTGATATTGAATTGATGTTGAAAAATTAAGTCCTTTTGGCAGTTTTGTGCATTTGTATAACTGCAGGAAAAACTTTTAGAAAACATTCTCCAATGCCACATTAATAATATTAGTTGCATATGCTGTGCAATGAAAGTAGTGATAGTCTTTTCTTCCCTGTGTGTGAGTGAAATGACATCTCAATAAATAAATCAATAAAATAAAATACGAAGGCAGGACTTGATTTTGTCTATTGGGAATTGATTGGATCACTGGATGGGTAAGTTATTTTGATTAAAGATTATGAGGGCACATGAATTTGAAAAAAAAAAAAACAATAATAATGTGCAAGAATCATCAATTTTGATTTCATAGTGACTTCAAAGAAACATGAACCATCAGTGATAAATAATAGTGTTAGGTCATCATAAAAAGGTTCTTAAAAGAACATTTCAATTATCATTTGAATAACATCCATCCATCAAACCTTTTTCTAATCCATTTGTGTTTTGCAGGATCACAGGATTTCAGAAATGTCAGATATTTAATCAGTTTTTATGTTGATGAACCATTATGTTTACAGCATGCCTGAAATCGAATTTGGTTTTTATAATGTGCATTTTTGTATTATAATAGAAAAATCACTGATTTGTGTTCTAATATGCAATTTCTTCAAAACAAAAACACCAAACAAACAACCAATAAAAACACAGTTAAAGGGGTCATATGATGCTGCTAAATAGAACATTATTTTGTGTATTTGGTGTAATGAAATGTGTTTATGCGGTTTAAAGTTCGTGACGTAGATATGTGGAGGCTGTTAGAACGAGCCGTTTTAGGTAGGTGTGGCTGAATCTTAACTTTTATAAAGAATATCTCTTTGGATTTGAGACTTTAGTCTTTGCAACTTTACAGATCTTCTTTATGCACCAAGAGCTTGTAACACTCCAAAGAGAAAGGAAAAATTGAAATCACATCATATGACCCCTTTAAGGATAAATTACATTGCGTAACTCACCAATGACGATCATACTGAAAGTTTTTATGGTATCATCATGACTTATGCTGATTTTTTTGGTGATTTTTGTGCTGTCACACTTTCGGTTTCTGTTCAAACTTTGCCTTTTTCCTGAACTCTCACTTCTGATGATCTCTGCTTCATAACGTCCAGCGTGTTCAGTTGTGATGTCTGTGATGATCAGAGATCCAGTCTTATAGTCCACCTCCAGTCTGTCTCTGAATCTCCCGTCTTCACCATCATATAAACAGCTCGTATTGGGATGTCCATTGATCAGAGCTATGCGAGTGTCTTCAAAATACCACAGCATCTTGTCATGTTCTTTTTTGTTGATATCAGTGTGTAGAGTGACTGTATCTCCCTCCTTCACTGTCACCACATCCTCACCAAACACACCTGGAAACACAAATATATTGTTACTGTATAATGTTGAATTAATATCCAAAAACAATAGAATGGAAAGCCCCCACGAAAATACAAAAACAAGCCTGTGGGTATGTGGTTTATCAAGGACAATGGTGTTTATCAACAGATCTTAGTAGAAAAGGTTCTGGCGGGCACATTAAAAAACATTTTAGGGGTTCCCATCATAGGATCATTTTATGGATTTAGTTTTAATTAATTATTTAGGCTTATTTTTCTTTAAAAGTTATACATTTTGTTAATATAATTCATTTGTAATTTTAATACAAATGTATGAATGCTCTATCACTAGAAAAAGTAACCTGTTAAACATGAAATTATTATGGAATCATTTTAGACATTCGTCATTATATAGAACCTTTTTTGGCCTTTTTTCCCCTGGAGATTTCTGGTAGAAAACTGAAAGAACTCCTGAGACAGAGAAATATTTACAGCCTCAGATATTTTAACATTGATTTTTTTTTTTTTTAACATTTACATACTCTTCATGCACAGTTATTTAAAAAAATATATAATTTTTAATTCTCTCTAGCCTACACATTTAAACCAGTGATGAGTGAGAATGAAAGATGTAGACGTAGTAAGAACAACGCGATCATATGATATGCAGCCTGTGGTCAAACCAGTTTCATGCTGAGTCACTTGCCATTTATTCCGGAACAGGAATAACTAAATAAAATAAATAAATGCCGTCCAAAACACATAGAACAAGGAAGATCGTGGCACTATATTGCTAACATATATATATATATATATATATATATATAAATTAAAACACCGACAAATAAAATACAAGATAATATCGATGTGAAATTGTCATTTTCCATCGCTGAAAATGCGTTGAAGTTACAAATTTAAATGTCTTACCGTGAAGGAGCAAAATGAACAGAGTGAGCACAAAACAGCATCCCATCATGTCAACATCGGTGTCTGTTAGAATTAATTAAAATAGTGTTGCTCTATTTTAGGCTAATTGTGGCTTTCTATTCCTGTTTCACTATAAAAGCCCACGACAATTTGATATAGTGTGTAAATATGAATAAATTTCGGATAATAAAAACACATGACCTATTTATCCAGATAAAATGACAATAATCGTAATTTCGTAGGTCAAATTAAATACACGTAATAGCCTATTGGCGACTGGTTAAAAAGAAAGAGAAAGCAAGAAAGAAAAAACCTACGTGAGCTGAAAGGGCTGGACCTTTTTTTCCCATTCATTCATCTTATGATAACTCATTATTAGGGAGTCTTTAATATAAAACCACTGAAATGTAACCCATGTAAGCGCCACACTGTTTTTCCTCAGCAGAACGTGATCAATTGAATCGATCGACTTGGGGTGCGTTTCCCGTGTAACGACATAACTCGCTGATTAACCACCACAGTACGATGCATTGTTGTTGAAACGAACTAGCTAGTCACGACTGTTTCCCGAACACGGTCGCGTCTCCGTCGTTTGATCCACATTAGTTCAACAACATCGGGCCATTGTTAATTACGACACACGCATGTGGTGGAGGATCAACTTCTGCTATTTACCCGATTAGACATCTCTAAGATGCTGCTGTATTGAACAAGGCGACTGATGACTAATTGACTATTTTTTGTTCCCTGTCATTTTGCTTTATTTGATGTTTGATTCATCGCGGGTTCCCTCTTACACCATACTCCGGGGTTCCCTTAGGTTTAGAGGACGCGAAAACATACATAGATTAAAATGCATTTATATTTAGATAGAATGGAATATATAGATTGTACTGTATGTTAAATTGCTTATTGTGCCCAAGAGCATATTTATTTAAAGGGGTCATATGATGCGATTTAAATTTTTCCTTTCTCTTTCGAGTGTTACTGGTGCATAAAGAAGATCTGTAAAGTTGCAAAGACTAAAGTCTCAAATCCAAAAAGATATTCTTTATAAAAGTTCAGCCAGGCCTACCTAAAATGGCTCCTTCTAACACGCCCCCACATGTCTACGTCACTATGTGGGGAGATTTGCATAATGCCGTCCAAATGTGCACGCAAAGAAAGAAGGCGTGGTTTCAGGAAAGCAGTAGTGTTGATGCAGCCATATCAGGGAGACGCTGTGTGATTCAGTGCGAAAGCAAAAGCACTTTATTTGGCCTTCCGAAAGTAGATGCAATTAGGAATCATTGGTTAAGATT